GATCAAAATATTTCGAATTTTAAATAAAAGATTAAACATGAATTTTTATTGAAATTAAATTTGACTTCTATAATAATATATGTTCAGATATTATATAAAAATTATAAATTTATTTTTGTTTATTTTTGTTAAACAGTTATTAAGATTTTTAGAATATTTTGAAATTTGTATGTAAATCGTATACAAAATGAAAACCTTGATTTTTAAACTTTAATAACTTTTTATATAAAATTATGAAAAATCTAAAAAACTATAACTGAGCTAATAACTATATATAGAATCTATAATTAAAATTTCATTCAATTATATCGAATGAATAAAAAGTTATAAAAATCAGAAATCACTGTTTTTGGTGTGAAAGGGTGGCCCGAAAGTAGGGTAGTTGACTTATAACTCTCTTCACCGCTTTACCACTTTCTACCGCCCTCCACCACCCAACCCCCACCATGTATAGAACTCATAGATACCATCTCTGGAAATATCAACTCCTGAAAAGAATCTGACCACTCCTTCCTGCTCCTAACCCTAGGCGCTAGGTAGCCTATCATTTTCTGCAAAGCAGAATAGCAGGATAGGATAGGAAGGGAAATCAATATCACTGAGAGGTGAAGAAATAGAATCAATAAGCTCAACACGAAAATTCTTCCGGTAGTTATAGATGTGGTGAGTTAATTACTAACGTCGGTTCTCACTTTCTAAGGAAAGATTTTTTATGATTATTGAGTAAATACCGAAAAGATTAAAGAAAATATCATCTAATAATTCAACAAATTGAGCTACCTATTCAGTCCTTCCTCGCAATCTTCCCCCCACATGAAACATTCTCTAAATCCAATTCAATTATTCTCAGCATCTTTTTCTTCAACAACGAATCTTGGCTCGGTTTTATCAAATTTGATCCAGAAACCAGTATTAGCAATACGACAGGCAAGTCAAAGTATACGCTCTCTGCAGTGCTCTAGGGTTGAATCTAGTTTGTAGTACTTCTCTTCTTCTTCAATTTTGTCATTCAAAAACTATTGCTTAAGATAATATTTTCCAGCCTACAACAACCCTTGTATTGCAAAATCTTTTGGAAAAAGGCGAATATCGTTTTGTAAAGGAAACTTGCTTTCCATAATATAATCGAGTGATTTGCAGGAGGCGAGCAATACATTAAGCATAATTGCTAATAAGCGCTAAGGAAATACTGATACCAAAATATTGATTGTATTAGAGAAATGAGATATATAAAATATAAAAACAAGAGTAATATGAATAAAAGGCAAAACATTTGGATCCCTGATTCTTTGTAAAACAATTTCAAGTGTAGAATTACTAAGACTTTGCGTATGCTTGAAGATAAGCCAAGGAAAGAATCAAGGAAGATAGATAGGTTATTATATAAAGAGAAGGAGTATGCATCTGGATTCGAAAGATGACCAGAGCAGTGTGTCCAATAGTCTTGCAGTTCTCTGTCCGGACTGCAGTCTAGATCATGGCTAGTCTATAATTTAATTGGTTTAGATAGATCATTGGAGTGAATTTGAAATAAAAAAGATAGCTTAGCTAATCTAAAATTAAAAAGTCTAGATTGTTGTCTGGACTTTTGGATTAATATCAATCTGGATTTAATCTAATATAGATATCTATATAATCAAGATGTGACGAAACAGACCGTGACGGTTCAGTTCCGTCCACTGTATAGCATCACGTGATCATTTATGTCAATTATATCTTCTCTTCGGCCCATGTTATAGTCTCTAAGATTTTTATTCTGGTGGAACAGAGCGATGATATAACGTCGTATTGGAAACTCCTAACTTTCGGTATGTTGTTACATTCATCTCTATGCTACACGGCGAAGACGAGACAATTACGTTAACTGGAGTCGAGTTTGTGAACTTTTACTGACTAACAGATGAGAAAACAGCTTTCGACTAGAATTGCAATCTAACAAGCACATTCCACCACAGAATTTGGGATCTGCAAAAGATTGGTCATATATACTGTACAATACAGCTGCAGAGCTAATATCCCACATCCAGATGGGGCAATAACCATTCAATTTGACTTTGATAGCATTCGAGTTTCTGAAGGACATTGAAAATTGACCTTCATCTTCTTATACATCCAAAAGACAGTCGTTGCTTGTTGCGGTGACTACTCAGATCACTCTGATCATATCATCTATCCCTACCTCGAAATATTTCGACCAAAGATTTCATCTGGAAACGAGTCTACGTATGCGAGCCTTTATTATATACATCTGCTAATACGCATCATGATCACTATTTGGGGTTACGTAGCAGCCAAATCGATAATCCTGCCCGAGCCTCAATTTTCTCACAAAGGCACCATCACTCGACTTCAGTTCGGCCAAATTCCAATTTTGTGACAGAGGTGACACAAAAGGGTATCGATCTTCCATACAGGATGTTTATATTTGTGTGCAATGCATACTTCAAATTAGCAATGAAAACTCAACAAGTAAAACATTCGTTGAGGATGAATCTCCAGTCTACAGTAAATTGTTGACGATTGCGTGAGTCCGTGTTACGTGGAGGCGAATTAAAAAGAAAGACTCAAGTTAGAGGTCAAAATATCTAGATCTTGATGATCTTGATTATTCATTGCATTCTCAGAACTCCCGATAATCAGTAAAAGTAACATTGGTATGTTAGTTCATACAATATAATTCTACATCACATATTGAATGCGGCCGAATCTACCGACATTTGTAGATAATATGATGCGTAGCCTTAAGGTGCGAATGGAGTCATTGTCCTCTATTTGTTGTTTTAGCAATAGTGTGTTTACTTTGTTTCCTGCATTGCAAAAAAGGTCACCGGAAAGTATCCGGCAAGTCATCGATCGGAATCCAAGTATTTAACTGTTAATTGCTGGCACAGTGAAAATTGGGGAATTGATGGAAGTATAAGCAAGTCAAAATATGAGCTTTGAGAGTTCAAGCAAGCACTCTATACCAACTCTTCTTCATACCCTCCCATGCATCCCACAAGTCACCACTTCTTGCTGCATTGCTCCATTGCTCCATCATTTCAGCATCTCTAAATATATATCCCAAAACCTACCATCATGCCCCGCTACAACAGAAACCAACGACGATAATGTCATCTTCAAGACCGGCAAGACTCAGGAGCCAGACCGAACACCCAGCTCTCCAACATAGATTCATAGAAGATCGTTGCAAGAACTTAACCATGGCGGCAATTCCCCTCTCCAAACCAGGTCCCGAGATTCTTGACCAGGCTACAGCAAATAGTAAGCAAACTACACCCAAATCCACGAACCTCTGAAAGAAATCCAATCCAATCCAATCCCACATCCAAAATCTCTACTTCCAAAATATAGCTGCAATTGCAACAGCACCATCTCAGCACAAGTATGTACCTAGATACCGACATAGTCTCCTGCTAGGCTGCTACCCAACTGCCAACCCCCGCTCCATCCAACCATTCAACCATCCTCCCCAAATCCACAACCATACACTAACCCCCCCTTCTGCCCCTCACCTTCAAGTTCGGCCCTCGACCTTCGACCTCGCGCAGTCACGCTGCCCTCCCCAGCGACACAACATATTCCCCCATTTCATTACCAAACACCTCATTGATTTCTCCCCCCTCAAACCAGACAACTACAGTATTCATTCCTATCAGAGCAAAGACAAAGGCAAAGACGAACAACTTCGCATCGAGAAATCGAGATACCGGTATAAGAATCTATAGCTAGGTTTACATTAACTCATCAAATATAAATACTCTAGATAGATACATAGATACATAAAGCTCAAATTGCATTCATAGTTATCTGATTCAATTCACTTCACTTCACTTCACCCAAGTAGAAGATAAGTAGTATAACATATTGTACCAAGTTACAATTCATCTCTAATTCCACTCATAATCGAGTTACAGTAGTGATACCACCTACCACCTACCACCCACTACCCATCTATTTCCATCTCGCCAGCCAGCCCGAGAATTCCGTGTCGTGTCGTGTCATGACGTGACGTTACCCCAGCCAAGAGCAGAGACTCCTCGGACACTCGAGGAACGAACTGATACTGATATGGTAGGAATTGGTGGGACTCAATTGGCAGCCATGCATGGCCCATTTGCCATTTGCCATTTGCTATTTGCTATCTGTGGGCGTAGAGTAGCGAGGAGCAACTTACAACTCGGCAAGTCAGCAGGGCAGGGCAATCGGCAGAGTGATACTGTACCAGAAATATATTTAGGACTTGAAGGTCTAAAACATGTTACTCATTCTACTCGAATATTTCAAACTGTAAATTGATCTTAATTTTTAAATTTGAGTGACGATTACGGTGATATACTTTATACTCTAGTACATGAATCTTGTTTTAAAAGTCTAATCCCACGTCAAATCCTCCCAATCATCACAATATGTAACACCCCCCTAATCATACATTCTCAAAATCCACTCATCCATTCCTTTACTCTCTCTTTTCCTCGCTCGTCTCTTCAATCGCCTTTGACATCTCGGGTTTCTCCTCAGCATTCCCAGCCTCATTTTTCATCTCCTCAAAGCTCTCATAAACTCCCACTTCCTTCGGCTCTTCCTTGTAATGCAACGTCTTCACCGGCATACTCGCTTCTTTCTCCGTCATTTCTGTTCTCCACTGCCTTCCCTTCTTCGCCAAATTCTTCAATTGCTGAATGAATTTATTATTCCTTTCTTCCGCCCACTTATTATTACCAGCAGGTTCATCTGTTTTTCTCAAGGCTGTCTTTCTTCTCGTTTGACATGCTTTATAAAGATTCATAGCCCTTTCTTGTCTGGGAATTTCAGATAATGCGTATTCGACAGTCCAGTTATCATCTTCCGTCAGGTTTTCAGGTCGTACTGTGTACTGACCATTGACTTTGTTGCGGATGGCGAGATGCATTGCTAAAATTTCTTTTGGGTTATCCTGTTCGGGAAGGATAAACTCATCATCTTTGATTAATGTCTCATCGTTGATATCATCGGTTTCCTCTAAAATCTCAGACTCAGCTGTTACGCTTTCCTCCGAAGGTAATGATTCGGCTGTTACACTTTCCTCTGAATGTAACGATTCATCATTTGTATCATCGACGTCCGAAGTTTCTTTCGCCGAATCAATCAAGAGACCTTCATTTTCAACAAGTTCCGGTTCGCGAGTCACGGCTTCCAATGATTCATCGTTATTTTGCTGAGTTTCCGAGGTTTCTTCGGCTGCGTCGACTAGAAGACCTTCTTGAATGACTGTGTTCTCAGTCGCGATTTCAATAAGGTCGCTAGTTTTTGCCTCATTATCTGTGTCTTCGACTTCATTTTCAGTGTCTCTCTCTTCTGTCTCCTCCTCATCATCCTCTTCGTATTCTTCCTCCTCCTCACCATCTTCATCATTCTCTTGATCGGCATCCTCATCCACCTCGGCAGTGGTAAGTTCTACATCCTCATCATGCTCTATGTCTTCATCCTCTTCTGTTATCTCATCACCCTCCTCATCAGCATCAACATTTTGTTCTTCCTTCCATGACTTATTCTCATGCTCTCTCGCAGAGTCTTCATCGTTATGTTCATTGTAAGATGAAGTTGATAGGAACTCCTCCACACGTTGCTCCACCTCATCCAATGTCAATCCAGTGACATCATGATGCTCAAGTAGACTCTCAGCAATTTCTTTTGCACTCTTGATCTCGTACTCATCGCTCTCCATACTCTCCTCGACCTTAGCCCGAAGATCTTCCCATTCAGCGTTCTTTTTCTCTTCCAATTGATCTTCTTCCGTTGCTTTGTCACCATGTAAACCCAGAACACGAGCTTCGAATGCTTCAATCTCCGCTTTATTTGTGTCCTGAATTTTTTGAATATCTTCCTCTTCCATAGGTTCGGCAAAGATGTACATGAATGGAGTATCACCATTTCCACGAGTTTCAAAGTGTATTCGTAATGATTTTCCGGGAAATCTGGCCGTGGCGCGATCCAGGGCTTTGTTGAGCAGATCAACACTAAGTTTGAACTCGCTATCTCCAAGAGTAGTATTGGTCGTTCCATGGATGGTGTCGTCTAATTCTGGTAAACTGATGTATTGAAATCCAAAAATTCGCTCAACATTATGATATGCGACGAAAATGCCGTCCATACGACCCATTCTAACTTGTAACGAGTACTTCAAGAATGCAGCTCTTATCATATCAAAGAATTCGCGTTCAAAAGATTCAAATTCTCCTTGGCGAGTAAAGATCTCGTAGCCACTTCCTTCCGCGTAATTTTCAATATCCATACGAATCGAAATCACGGCTCTGGTCTTTAGATCAAACATACCAGTCCCTGGGAGGCGGGGGTCGTGTGCGTCAAGTTGAGATCGCATAAGAAAATCACCCATAGTAGTATAATGAAAGGATTCGTTCTCGTTGCGTTGGTCTTCTGTGATCGAATTCGAGTTTTCTTTTCGATATTGTTCAAACTCTTCTTTCGGCAGGGTGAGCAGCTTCTCCATTGATTTGCCAAGCATACTTAATATATTGGCGGTATCGAATTGCTTATCAGCATCAATAGCATAAACTCCGTCTCTCTCTCTTAAAAACACGGCTGATGGACCACGTTGAAGGGCAGTGAAAGAGTTGAATTCAACGGGGAATTTTTGTGAGAGCATACTAGTATTGATTGGTCTCCACTGGGATAGCAAGAAATGGAAATGGGCGAGAGATGCCGACATACTCGACGTCGACCCTGTATATTTTCTCTTTTCATCTTTTGCAGTCTCGATCAACGCTTTATCCCTCGAAGAAGTGACATATTGTTTCAAAGCTGTAAAGTCAAATTCGCTAACAGGCATGATTTGTTGCAAGTAAGGATCGAAGTTGAATACTCGAGAACGAGGATCTTGGAGATTGTATACACCAGGGTTAAATAGGGCTCTGTCTAGTCCATATGATAATCCAGGCACAGGAGGTTGTTTCTTTTGCACAGGGACTAGCTGAAGTGAATTGGCGCAGACAGATTGGACATCAAAATCAACCGTGCCGGGCGACTTTACCATCGGACCTGTCTTAATACCTTTTGAATTTTTTGCAGAGGCTGCTTTATTGCGTGAGTTCTCCGATTTATCCGTAGATTTCGACCTCTTATCAACGACGTTCCTGACAGGACTTTTGCGAATAGACTCAAATGAAGCCAACATTCCAGCAAGATTAGATGACGGGGTCGCCATTTCAGGAGTTGGAGCATCCTTCGGACGTGCTCTGTTGACAAGTGATGCCCGCAATTCTTTCATGACTTGAGTTCGGTCTGTGGTAGTCAAACCTCCCTTCTGGATAAGTTCAACGAGACTCAATCTAGCTGCAGCCTGCCCCTTCTCAATGACCATAGCTTCATAGATGGAATGCAGTTGCGAAGGTGCTATTTTCTTCCGCCCTTGATTATCGGCAACGGGGCTTGCAGTGTCTGGATTTAACCCCTTTGAGTATGAGTCGGTTTCGGGCATGGCGGAATTAACATAATTGATAAGCTTCTGCTTGACTTTTTTTATACGAACATCCGACTCTGTTTCTTTTGATTTTGACGCTTTCTTCGCATTCTTTTTCTTCGTCTTTGTTTCCTGATTCTTCTCCTCTGAGGCAGCTCGTTGCTCATTAATCTCCTCCCTCTTCAACTGCTTCGCCGTCTTGTTCTTCTTCGGCTTCTTCTTCGTCGAATTTGATTGTTTACTTGCCGCGTTTACAGCCCCAATAAAAGACGTGAGAGCGCTTTCTTCTCCCTTACCAGTTCCATCACTACCTCCCGAAGCATTATCGACTTTTTGGTTATCGCCATTTTTATCTTTAGTTGATGGTTCAGCCTTGAGTTTCTTCAATTTTTTTGCCACAGTCTCCGTGTGTTGATTTTCATTGATGTGTGCAGGTACATTCTCGCGAGTTTGGCCGTTGCCATCTGAAGCACTTCCGTCTTTGGTTTCGTGATTACGTCGAGTTGTCGAAAATGTGACGGCATTTCTGGGTGCGCGCGATAGTATGGCATTCGAGTATAGAGGAAGAGCATCTGAGGCCCCAAGAAGTTTCGAGAGGCATGAAGTACAGACGTACGGTTGCTGCAGCTTCGCAGTCTGCCGAGTAAGAGAGACAAACATGGGAATGGTTCAGAGGATTAACCTCTTTCTCATTCAATTGACTTGACTTGTCCTTGTCCTTGTCCTTATCTTTGCTGGTGGTTACGAGAAAAAAAAATTGGTTGCTTCTCCCACCTCTATCTTAGTGTAATTATTTTGGAGCAGGGGTAACTTTAACCTTATCGATATCAAAAACGTTCATGTTATCTCCACGTGAATTCACTCTAAAAGGTCAATGAACGATCAAGGAGCTTTAATGCAGATATTTTAAGAGAGAGAGAGAGAGAGAGAGAGAGAGAGAGAGAGAGAGAGAGAGAGGA